AATATTTAATCAGTGCTTCTTTTTTGAGGAGGAGAAGCCAGCAAATCCCATGACAGCTGCCATATCAGGATCAGCATCACCAAAGTCTTCATCTTGACACTCTGCCTTTCGCTTCTTCTCCCCCCCCCCCCCCCCCCCCTCCTTTTTCCTTTTTCCTCTTAGGCTTGAGGCACTGGCAGAAAGACTTAGGCCAGGATTGCTTCTGGGGCATTAGGAACTTCCTCAACTATTTGCATCTGCAGCTGTAGCACCTGACAGCAGAAACTTTCTGGATAGGGTTTGTTAGCCTGACTTGTGGCCTCAACCCACTGAAGCTGCAGGCTGCCTGATAAATTTCTGGGATAGGATCCTTCGCTGTCCTTTCTCTTTTTAACTTCCTTAAGCCTTGCCCCATACCTGCAGGCTGTTATGCCATAGTTTGGATGTTGGAGTCAAAATTTATTTTTTTATTTTGGCTCTTGTGGGATTTCCGAAAAAGATCTCTCTGCAATGAAGGTTTGAGCAGGACTGTGCACATGATAAGGATCCTGCTATTCTTTCAGATTCCAAAGGCTCCGTTCCTTTCATTCTTCTCTTTTTAAATTCCTTTGTGTTACTTTTTGGAGTCGGTTGTGTTGGTTAGCCTGTTATGGGATCACATCTCTTTTTCCCTACTTTTAGTTGTGTTGTCTGCTGTTGTCGAATTTCTCGCGCACTGCTTCACAACTCAGAGCAATGTTGAGTGGTTAAGTGGTTTAGCGCTCTTTTGCGCCATTAGATCTTACTCTTGAAATAGTACATTTTAAGAGCACTTATGATTAAAAAAAATAAAGGTATTTTGTTTTGAAATGTATAAAATGCTAGTATTCATATCCAATATACCTTATTATGTAATAGACAAAGTAAAGGATCTACTGGGCTGCCATCTTCAAATTTGTACCTATACCAACAGTTATTTCTTATTTAGTAGCATCTTGCATGATGAATTTCAGAAAAGATCATTCAATTTGGTTCTTGAAAAGGAGTTTTGGTTGTTACTGTTTATTTTTGCATATAAACTTGGTAAGGCTTGAGTAAAAATCCATTTCCTTTCCACTGATGCTTCCTCATAACAGCCTGGGATCTTGGTCTTAGACTACATCCACTTATAGCTTAGCCCAGGGGTAAGCAAACCACAGCCCTCCGGCCAAATGCTGCCCGCAACAGCATTTCGAACGGCCCACCAGCTGCTGCAGGAAAACTCATTTAAAAAAAACTGTGGGCAGCTGCATGTTTCACTGAGATGTTGGTATGTCTTTATACTTAAACCTATTTCTGGCTTCCGTGGCCCACAGAAGCTTATGTTTTCTTGTGAGGCCCATAGGATAAAAAGTTTGCCCACCCTTGGCTTAGCGTGGTTCTTGGCCTATGGCTATTCTGGGAGTTAGAGTTGGATAGTTGGGTGTGGATGGAACGTTTTTGCACACCATTTGTCACCTTTACTCTTCTCCTCTATTCCGACTTCTTGACTTTCACTTTTCTTCCCTATTATTTCTTGGTTTTTCTAAAAGGAACTGATGCGGATTTCCTGACTCAAAGTTGGTTCTGACTATTGAGAGCACACAGGTTTAGATTACAATATATTTATATATGGGAATATCCTCCAATGAAGTAGAATTTTTTATTTTCTTCTGCTCTTTTCTTTCAGAACTTGCTGTCTGGAAAGGTCCTTTGAGCAAAGGTCTCCTTGGAGTTTATAATTTTATCTCTGTGGTTGGCTAGCTGTTCGCTGCTTTTCAGAGCGTTGTCATATCCATTTCTTTAGAACATCCACTGGTTACCTCAAGGAAGCACGAGATGAAGCTCTCTGTGGCTGATAGGTTATGGATTTGAGGCAGTTGAGATCATCTGGATAAGTGGATTTTTAAGAACCGGCCTGTGACACCCGACCTCAAACCGAGTTTTTGGTAAAAAAAAACTGCAAAAAAACATCCTACTTAATTATTCTACATCAAATGGCACCATTTACAGGTTGTGTGGTACTTGAGTTATCTCAACCTTGAGTTTGTCGCCAAAGCTGCATCCAGCCTCCTGAAAAAAGAATGCACACCGAAATTGTCACTGGCCAGTTTTTAAATATCCACGTACCCATTTTAGACTGTGTAGGTAGCAGCCAATGAGCTTATTATACTCTATATCTCCTTCAATATTCACATTTTGCACAAAGGGAGATTTTGAAGGCCTTTCTACCCCAAAGGTGAAGAAGGGCTGAGGAAAATCCTACAAAGCTTTCAGTATCCAAAGGCTCATTTCTCTGTCACTTCTATTTTTAATTTGTCTTTTTGCTTGATAGTGTTTGCTTGTTCAATTCTTGGATGACTGGGTTACTTGTATCAATTTCATATCTCCTTATACTGTAGTAGTTCGCAGTAGTATAGCAAAGGAGGACTGGGGGAGGGGGAAGGCTTCTGTCCCAATAGGTTGGCTCTAGCCATCTCTGGTCTAAATTCATGCATCACCCCCTCCACCCTCGAAAAAAATTACTGACTGTGTCCATAGGAAGGGAAATTCTAGCCTCCCCTAATCATTGGGAAATCCTGTCTATGTCACTAGACTAATTGACCACTTGTGTCTGTAGCCAAAAAAGTCCACGTGTTTCTTTCCGTTGTCATGTTTTCACTAATTTAGTTACGTTCCTGCTATTTGTGCCATTGCTTAGATTGGCTAAACTACAATCAAACGCACGTTCTATTTTGAAAATTGGGTAAGAAGATTTTGCACGGTGTAGATTTTACGGCGAGAGATGAAAAACCGCCGCTGCCCGACGCATCTACCATTACCATTATGGACAGGCTGAAGTTCTCTGTTTCAACAGATGCCTCTGAGGATCGTGGCTTTTGCAGGGTACATCTGCTTAGACCCTTTCAACTTGACTGGAGTTCTTAAGGTTCTTCATGTGCTAATCATCTTGTCTATGGATGCTTTCGTGAGTAAGTTGCGAAGAAGCAACTTGCAGCAACTCTCCTTGGTGCTTGGTGACAGCTGCTGCCCAGAAATCTCTTGAAGACCCTCGGGTTAAGATCACTTTTGGCGATGCGACGGATGGAGCTGCGAGAAATCCCCATTTTTCAGAATCTTTCTCAAGCGCTAAGACTGCTTCCAGGATCGTCCTGCTGGCTACTTATCAGTTCCTGAATGTGTTCAACATTATCTGGAGTCCTTGCAGATAGCGGCCCTTTACTGCCAGGTTTACGACTTACAGTACCACTTTCTCACAAACGTTTCAGCAGCTTATTCCCTGTTCTCACGTTTCATTTGATTTGGATATATCCTTGCAAAAATTTTCTGGCACCATACCTTTTCTCCTGTTTCCAGACTTTGATAACAACCTTGTCTTCTGCATTAAACTTGCCTGTTGATACACTTTTACCTTTCATACTGAAAGGATAGGCGACAACACAATCATGCATGTTAGACGTCACACAGCACGTTGAGGAAGAAACGCAGTGGCCAAAAAACAAAACCATGGCAGGAACGCCAGCCGACCCACAGGCTCGAGGCAGGAATTCCGGTTTGCGCAGAAGCGGTTTTTCACCTGTCGCCATGAAATCATCACTGTGCAAAAATGTCTGAACTGATTTTCACTAAAAGTGATTTGATTGTAGCTTCCCATTCTAAGTTATGGCATAAATTGCTGGCACCTAACTATGACAGCGGAATGAAAATGGTGGAACTTTTTTTGGCCCACCCTGTGGACGCAGAGAAAATAAATCACAGCTGGTAGAATTTTTTAATTGGAAATTTTGCATTTTTCAAACCTTGTATACATCTACATGTTTCGATTATGTTAATTTTTTCAGAATATTCCATCCACTGCTTTATCCAAACAAGCACTTTTAAAGCTCTCATTTAATCTCTAAACACCTGGAAATTCCGATGAGTCCAAGGAGACTCAATGAGACAATGGAATGGCCTTGTACCTGGACAACAGGATTCAGCTGCAGTTTTCATTGAAGAATTGCTCTTTTAATGAAGTCAGTGCACACATTTGCTCAGAAAACATGCTTCAATACTGCTCTGTCTGCCTAAGACAACTGCATGATCACAGCTCTGTGATCATGGCAATAGACAAACTGGAGCAAAAATGATCAAGCATGATTACTTCCCTTTTTTGGCATGAGGCTAACAACAGGTGAGGATTTCCAAATAACTTACTTGCAACTTTCTAAGTGCTTCTTTGGCTAAACCAGATGGATAAAAATTCCAAAGCATGTTTTTTTTTCATGGAAGACAAGACACAAATACATGTATTCTGGAACAAAAATTACTGCAGTAATGTCCAATTTCTTGATATACAAGTTCAAACAGCACTTTTTTTCTCTGCACCTGGTATACATCACACCTTTTCTCCAGGTAACACATCCTAGTACTGCCCAAGTTGACTAAAATTCACAGAGGGACCCAAATTGATTCCTCTATTTGACACAAGTGCCCTTCAAATGATAATGCTTGAGTTGGGTTGCTCTGGGTAACTTTGAATTTGTGGTTCATATTCCTTTCATGTCACAATATCCTGTCAGGTAGGTGGGTGGGTTTCAAATAATCTAAACAGCAATTGATGATATGATTCCTAACTGCAAAATTCTAGCTTTTTCCATCACCAGTGACATCTATGATCCTTTTCAGAGATTTCACCACTGACACTAAGGTGGCAGATTATTGAAATTCAGCATAAGTGTGCCGATGACTTGAAAGTGCAGGATGAAGGAGCAGTTCCGTGAAACGGATATTGCTCGAAAGATGTGAGTCTTATATTTTAACTTTCTGCCTTTTATTTACAGCATTCTCTTGGGGATCATGTATCTGAGTGTAGAAACAGTGGAGTAGAAGGACAGATATTTAATCTGCATTACTTATTCAGGCAAATAGCTGTTTCTATTGCTACCAACTTACCCCACTTATTCTAAAAGTCATGCATCAACAGATATTAAAAGGTGTTTAACCCCTTCAGTGTCAATTAAAAAAAAAAAATGTTATTTAAAAAATGTCAGTTTATTTTATTTTGGAGTAGTTTGAATGAAAATTCCAATAGCAGAATACAATAACATTTAGCATAATTTTGCCATACTTTAAGTGCTATTTCTATGTTTCCATAGGCTTGTGCAACAGGGATAAACTTGTTTGCATTAACATCTAACTCCTGTGATTTGCCCAAACTGTGTTCAGGCAAATCACAGAAGGGGTTGACCGATTAGAGCAAAGCAATTTCATTTATCAATAACATTCACAACTAGTGCTTCTGGTATTAAACATTATGATCGTGTCATTGGATCAACAGAGCCGAATTTCTGGTGCTAGTTCCTTAGTTCCCTCACTTTAATAATGTTGATGATAGATTATGCTTTCCATACCTAGTGTTTCCTGTGTGTGGGGATCTTTTTGATATATTGCATGGGTATATTGGTTTTGGATGCTTCCATAGATCCCATGTCTGCTTTGGGGTACATTCACCTGAAGAGATCCAACAAGCAGCCCACATACTGGTGTTTGCCACCAATCTATATGGCCAGGATAACAGTCGCACTCCTGTCCTCAATGGTGTCCTTGATCGGCGCATGGTCTGTCTCTCCCTCCCTCCCTCCCTCTCCCCTCTCTCTTCTATTTCTTCAATTTACTATTTTCACCTTGTCATTGGTTTTGTGGCATCTTTCCTTTCAATGACAGGGAACAAGCCAAGGGGATGGGAACTGTGCAACATGTGGCCTGGGTCTAGCTGACTGTGTTGGTCACTTTGGATACATTGACTTGGAACTTCCAGTGTTTCATGTTGGCTATTTCCGTTCCATCATCACCATACTTCAGTCCATCTGCAAGGTTCACAACAACCCCATGCACATTTGAATAGATGATAGTCAGAAGCAAAGCACACTGTTCTGCTACAATAAACTCTTCTTGTTATGGATAGAACTGTTCCCGCATTCTCCTTCCTCCTACTGAGAAGCAGATGTTCCATGCCAAGGTCACAAACCCCCATATGAAGTATCTAATGAAGAAAACTATGAGGAAGAAGATCCTGGACAAGTGCAAGAAGATATCTGAGTGTCCTTACTGTAGGGAAATGAATGGCATGGTGAAGAAGGCTGGGCTCCTCAAGATTTCACACGACAAGTTCCGTTCTGCTAAGAAGCACAGTACTCTCATTAAAGATTATGTTGGTGAGTTCCAGCATTGAGAGGGCTTTGCAAATGGTTTTTGTTATGGATGTAATTGTGGTTTTATACCCCAAGGAATGGTTTGCAGGAGGACATATATGGCCATCTATGGGAGTCACTGGATTGGGGTCTTCCTTTGAGGGAAAATTCTGAGACTAACTATACAAATTCTGGCATTGTAGATGCCAGCAAAATTGGGAGATTTATCTGAAACTAATTTGAAGGATTTTTTGCACAGCAAGTCTTGATTGTATAGGATCTCATTATGCAGGACAAAGTTATTTAATGACTTTATCCCTTTAACATTCAAGAGAAGAGATCTAAGGAATATCCTCTATTTTTCTGGTGCTCTCTTCACTCTCTCTCTCTCATTCCTCCCTGCTGGAATGGATATTACATCTCCACTTTTATGGGAATTAAGTTCAGATGGTTGAGGAGAAAGTACTCATCACTGGATGTATCAGATGGTTGTCTCTCAAAGTATCAGATTGATGCATTATTCATGTCACTGGGGCAGCAATGACAAATCCCAACCAAAGTCAACAGAATTTCAAGTGGAGAAAAGTAAGTGCTGCTGCTTGAAAGAGCAAAGTGCATAAATTTACAGCATGAGTGCCTGGAACTCTGGTCCAGGGTATAAATTCTCAAGGTCATGATTTCAGAGAAATTCACAGGTATTTAATAACTCAACAAGGATGTGGCAAAGTTAATCAAAATTCATTACTTCAATTCCTCAAAGTGCCTATTTCTGCTGATTTTTTGCACACAGGCTCTTAACCTAAAATCAGTCAATGGTAGTACAGAAGTTCCCATTCATAAGAATGAGCTGGCTGTCAATTTTGATGGTTTACTAAGCATTTGCTCATTTCGAGTTAGTACAGGGTGGTAAAAAAAATGTTAACACTCAGTGGGAATAAGCGATACAAGTTCAGAATGTCAAATCTTACTTCAATACTGAGTTTTAAATACAAAATGAAATTTCACACATTAATGTACTTTCAAGTGAAAACATAACCATAAATGCAATGACATTGCAATTAAATTTGAATTTGAAACTGCCATAACAGTATTTCCCCATTACAATGGTTACATTTTTTGGACCACCCTATACAGCACTTATGGGATCAAATGGTTGATTTAGAGACCTAAAGCATGACACAGATTAAATTGCACCGATTTCAAATTTCCCGCCTAACCTTATACGTAAGCAATCGCTATTTAAACTACCCTCATTGTAAAGCCTAAACATTCAGCTTTTGGTCAATATAAAAAGATTTGTGACAGCACTAGTAGTTACTGAAGTAATTGCCATGGAACTCGAAGGCAGAAAGAAAATTCTGCACTTTTTTGCTGAAAATCCGTCGACTTCACATTCGGTCATCGCGAAAG